CTAAGCTAATAACATTCTGGCAAGATATAATTTGAGTATATTAATTTCTTGTAACTAGAAATTTGTAATACAAAGTAATTGTTATCTAAACGTCACAAAAATATTTCGTACCTAATTTGGAACATTTAAAAAAACATATTCTCATATTTATATAATAAAATCAGCTATTAATTCAAACATTACTTGTAAATAAATTCATAACATGCCACGTTTAGTTTTTGTGTTTATTTCAGAAACACCAGCACTTACAAATGTCTTAGTTGTTGACAGATATATTATTTCTAATCGAGCTTTTAGATCAGTTTAATAACGTTTTGAAAATAAACCATAAATACATATTATTCAAAATGTTTATTTATGAATGTAGTCACCTTTTAGGTCAATTTACTTCATGCTTGAATTTACAAGATTCCTGATCTAATCTAAATTCAAAATAAATGTCTGTTTCTTTGATTAAGTTGATGTAAATTTCTTTGCCATAAGTAATTAGTTCCAATCGTAATATAAACAAATATTACATGGAAATAGAAAACTATTTACTAGTACATTTAAAAGAGAAGCTGCTTCTTCGTATCGGTCTATAAACATTCATGATTTAGTTGTTGATAAATATATACAAAGTGACCAGAAAATCCAGGTGTATACGATGATCGTATATTTTTAAGTAACTTGGAAAACTTATGATTTGATATGTCCTGTTTAATTGAGTCAGTCTCTGATACTTAAAGTTTGTATGAGTTCTGGCAAATAAAAGAAAGTGAGAAAACTTAATACATTTATTAAAAAAAAGTAAACAGAATAAATTTATATGTTGTGGACAATCCGCCTTTAGGTACTTAGATACTTGGAGCTTGGAACTTGGAGAAACTACGTAACTCGAACTTGGAGCTTAAAGCTTGGACTTCTAGGAGCAACTACGTAACTCGACACTTCTTGACTTCTTAGAGCTTAGAGCTTCTTGGAGCCACTACAGGTTTAGAAATAAAAAGAACCTCACTCACAGTAAAAGTACATATACATGCCAGTTTGGAAATCTAACGGACTTATGCATAAACAGGACAAATAGTAAAGTTAGATCGTCTGAAAAGAATATAAAATATTTATTGGGCCAAAATAAGTTATAACAATAAGTCTTACATCATCTGAACAAAATATAAGCTATTTATTAAGCCAAAATAAGTTAAGAGCCATATATTTCCGTTTAAACTGTATTTCCATACTGATTTGTAATTCAATTATTTATTTGCCTTTAGTTAGGGTAGCTATATACATAAATAACCGGTATGATGGTAATAAAAAAGCAAATGGCCGATCCTTTCGGTTTTCCAATAAAATCCAGCAAAATGTTAAAATATAAGGTGAAAGAAACATTACCTGACAATTATCCCAACGTTAACACACAATAACACATAAAAGATAAGATAATTATAGAAAACTACTAACAGCTAATTTATCGGCATAAACTTTGAACTCGATACACCAAAAAACCAGTTAAATCCAAACGAGTCGGTTGCCCAAAGAAACACTAGGTTCCGTGCGCAAATAATATTTTTCAAATTTTGAGGAAGAGAGCGGTGGTCGTTTAAGATGTATTACAAGGGGTTATGAAGAAGTTGTTTTTAAAAATAAATTTAAAATTAATATAAAATTAATTTCACGTAACTGACCCCTTCCTAAAGGCTTGTCTTTTAGTTTTGATAAAGTTATCTTGCCAAAGAAGTAGTGGTGGGGGGAAGAAGTAGGGGTAAAGAGAGAAGCAGGGGGGCAATAGGGCGGTTTGAAATAGTTTTAGAAGGAGCATATTTCCCAGCTATTACTTATTTTCTATCTCTTACCATTTAGGCGTGGCAGAGGAAGATGGAGGGAAAGTTGGAGGAGTGAGGTCAGAAATAATTTTTTAATTTCCACAATCTTCTATTTTTTTATTACTTTCTATCTCTTTTTATCACTTTTTATCACTTTTTATCACTTTTTATCACTTTTTATCATTTTTTATCATTTTTTATCACTTTTTATCACTTTTTATCACTTTTTATCACTTTTTATAACTTTTTATCACTTTTTATCACTTTTTATCACTTTTTATCACTTTTTATCACTTTTTATCACTTTTTATCACTTTCTATCACTTTTTATCACTTTTTATCACTTTTTATCACTTTTTATCACTTTTTATCACTTTTTATCACTTTTTATCACTTTTTATCACTTTTTATCACTTTTTTACTTTTACTGATATAAATTTGTTATGAAAAAGAAATTATCACACCTCTCCCTTTCAACAAACCTGTAAAATTAACACTACCAATTACGAATATGTCATTTTTTATATGGTTAAAGAGAGCTAGATTAACGTGGTTTTAATATATTTCATATAATCCATATTTATTCATTTTTTAAATTGATTGCAACAAATAGTAAACTAGATACCGCGAAAAATATTACCGACATACATTAACGCATGCAGTTTATCAAATTTACATAACCATCAGGTGTATTTCCGTTTGGAATTTGTTTTTGTCAACAAAGTTCTGCGCGCAAGCCGAAACGTCATAAGTTATCACAGGAACAATAAGCAAAATTCTGCATTGTTCCATGAAAGCAATGACAATGGGTAGGAGAATGGGCGTGCAGGAACGGCGGAAATGTAGTGTAACATATGTGTGTTTAACAAACATTTACTCTAATATGGGGAATGGATTATGGCTGGCAATGCCCGGAATGTAGGGATTATGTAACTTTTTGGTCTTTAGTCCTCTAGTCGCGGAAGTAGATACGACAAACATCCAGTCTAGTTCGGTACACAAGCTTGTCTTAATGAAGGAAAATTGAAGTTGATAGTTACGCCCAAACCGTGAAAGAAAGTTTGGTTGGCTTTAGAATATTCCTAGTTTTAGCAATATAAATGTACGAGGATCGAATATTAAATACGTGTGGAATCAGTGTTGCAGGATACTTTTTTTAAATTTTATAAATTATATTGCTTTTTATTATATTCATATTTTATTTCAATGATTAACAATAATACGAGACTAATGTCTATAAAAAATAATAATATTCCAAATTTCGAATTTGAATGTATCTCAATGATATTTTAAAACAACATCACTGATTATAGGGCTAAAATACTAGGTTTACCTGTTCAAATTTTAAAAATTTCAGATAACTCTAATAAAAATGTATGTTATACAAATTATGAAAACTTGAGAAATGATTTAAATCATTTTGATTGGACTAATTTTCATAACACAACAGATGTTGATACTTTGGTACGTGGGTTTATTTCATTATTGAAGGAATTAGTAACAAAAATACTTCTATTTTGTCAGAATCCATAATAAGTAAGTTTACATTTCTTAAATTATTTTATTCCTGTCGAAGTCATTAATATTTTTATTTAATAATATCCTTTATTTACTCAATTTTAATGAATGATAGTTCTATAATACATATCATATGTTTACTACAACTTTCTTTTACATAATTTTATAACGTACTCAGCTACTAAATTTCATAACAATTTTCCCTCAAAATTGAATCCTCAATTTTTCCTTTACTAAAAAGAAATTAGTATATCAAATTTTCTTGTACTACTTTCCTATATAATATTTACCTTTTTTAAATTTACATTAAATTTTCATTTATTATTAATCAATTTCTAAATTCGTTCATCTTTCTATTACTTTTTACATTCCACAATTCTTTATACAGTGCTTTTCAAAAGTCCCCTCCCCTCCTGTTTTCTTTTAAACGGTGATACTTAGACTGATAAAATTTGAAGGGTAACAGATGACGTAATAGGCATCGGTGACGTCACCAGGCAACTGAAACCAATAATATTAAATGGGACCTTCTTTTGCAATTACTAAATTCACTTGTATTCCTTCGTTAATTCTACTCTCCAATTGCTTATAACATTTTTATCAATTATTCTTATATCTATTTCAGTTTTCCACAACACTCGTTTCTTATCCTTCTTGTATTGGTTTAATTTTTTATTAATCTCTTTCTGTATTTTATTAGTTTCTCCTTTATTCTGATCGTTCATCTGTTCTTGTAGTTCTTTTATAATTTCTTTTTTAATATTTTCTACTTTTTCCTTCATTTACCGTCATGTTTCATCAATGTTCTTATTTGTTTTATCTATATTCTTATTTGTTTTATTCTGATTAATATTCACATTCTTCATCAAGGCTTTAAACATTTCCAAATCGTTCTTTCTGTTCCTATTTTTCTATATATTCTCCTTGTCTTTGTACAATATTTCCTGCATCATCTTTATACTCCTTTCCTCTTGTTTGTCCTCTTCTATTGTTTTACTTATTTTCTTTCTCTCTTTAATTTATTCTTCATTGTTTTCTATCACTTCTTTCAATGTATCGTCTCATATTAATTTCATAAAATCATATGTTTCTGGATTTTTACCTTCTAAGTCTAAACTTCTAGATAGTCTGTCTATTAAATCCTTTTTAACTACTACAATGTCTAATCCTCTTTTCTCTAATTCCTCTTTATGTTACTTTCAAATCATATAGTTTCTTTCTCTGCTTAACTGCCATTTTATTTTAGTTCTGAATTAACTGTAGTAATTACCATTATTATAATCATTGATGTGGTAATTATTAACGCATTACATTTGAGTAAGTTCCCTTTTAGCTAGCCCTAACTTTATTGTTTACTGTTTTTTTACTTTATACACTTTTACAATGATTTATTTATTATGGAATATCAACAATTAAATGTCTCATAAAAACTATGTATGCCATTTTTATGAAATTTCACTAGATATTAAATAGGCGAATATAAGTACTTTATTTAATTGAAAAAACATCACGAGGAAAGCAAGTTATTTAAACATTCAAGCTAACTCTAATTCGCCAGAATAAAGCGGATCGCCAAAAACAAGGGTCAGGGTTATAGTGTTTATAATATTAGTCCTTTAGCCCTCGCCTTACTTAGGATAACACTTGTATTTAGAAGTGTATCCAGTTACGGACGAAATGACGTGTAACCTAGCTTTGAACTCAGTTTAAATGATTCTCTAATGGGGTTTTCTACCACTGGAGACAAGGAACTTTCTCTAAGTGGATTGTTCTATATCCATCGAGTGGCTATTAAACAAGAATATTCAGTTGGTAATCGGGATATAGTTTCATTTAAAATATATTGAATTTAATCTAATTTGAAATACTGTTAGTAGGTTAAAATGTAACAGAATATTTTTGGAAAACATTACAGTTGTCGACAAAATTAACAAGGTGTAACGTTATTTTTCTTTTTTAAAAATGACTAAATTTATAATAAATATAAAAAAATAGAAGAGGAACAGTCAAATTTGCTATAATATATTGGATTAAATATACAATGATAAGGAGGGAGGCGTAATACTTTAAGTCCATATTGTTCTAATAGAAGATCAGCCATGTAAATGTTTGGTGGTTTACTTCTAAAAAAAAGTAATTGAGAAATTACAGACAAAACAGATTTCTTTTACTGACTGTGCAACAAGATTCAAAAGTTCCGCTTTAAACATAGCAAATGAAAATCTAATATTCTGATTTGTCAGCCACTCTTGTATTTTAATCTTTGTCCAGCTAGCGTTTGGTGTATTATGTAACAATGTATTGTGATATGCAGCATTGTCTATTATGATTAAGGATGGTTTATTAAGTTTTTTCAGTAACAGTTCTTCAAACCATTTAAAAAATTCTCATTATTGTATAAAATATACTACTACAAACTTTTATTATTAATGTTTTTAAAAAATTACATTTTATATTTCAGCAGAAGTCAGCAGAAAAATTAATAATTTTTAGTATGTCGCATTTAGTGAACCGAAAATCCAGCGTTATTTTATGGTTAGTGACCCCGATTTTTGTGCCAAAAGATAATGTATCGCAACACAGGGAATCGTTGCCAACATTCTTAATCCTGAAATTGCGGAACTTCAAACGTAATAAATTTATAGTTACCTACCTATGTATTGTTTACAATTCCTACTAGCATAATTTCATCATAATTCTTTTACATAAAAATTTTTCAACATGAAATAAGTAATAATAAGAAACATTCACTAGAATTTGACATTAATTTTCTTATTAATTTAAACTAGTTTATTTTCAATAAAATACTAATATTTTATAACAGAAAATGACATATTTACCAGCTGCTGTTCCGCATGTTTAATTCTAGTCTCTAGATACCAATTTCACTGCTATTTCAGTTTTTGATTTATTTAAATCAATGCGAAAATTTTGAATTTTTTTGATGTACTGATCACACACGTAATTAATTAAATTTTCGAAAGGTAAACAAAGCTAGAGCAAAAAACTAAAATTCCGCCTCAATTAATACGGTAACAGCAATAGCTTGAAGCGATATATAGATTTTCCGGTGGTGTGTGACTAAATAAAGTGGCCAACAATTTAATTTGAGTAGGTAAACTAGGACAAGCCAAATGAGATTTTAAGAATATTAATTTGAAGATTGTCATTAGATTTTAGATAACTGTCATTAGATTTTTATAAATTTAAACTAGTATATTCAAGTTAAGATGAGTAAATATTAAAGTTAAAGATTTGTATGGTATAAATAGAATAAGAGATACAGAAAATGGTATTTAAATCAATAAAAAAGGTATGCAGGAATGATATTTAAGCAGAAAAAGAAGTAAGACTAGTTATACCAAGAGGAAACAATAGAGGAAAATAGCATGTAGAGGTCAGACAATAAAACCATGCAGAGACAGACAAGAAAGAGTTATAGCAGCAGGAAGGAGACTAGGAGGTATCAAAAAAAGGAAAACAGAGACATAGAGCAACAGCAACTGGACTTTAATTTTTTTTTAATTATTGAAGCCGCAATCTTTAGTGCTAAGTAAAATATTGGAATAGTGCTGATTGTCTAGGGTGGAACCAACATGAGGCACAAATTTGACAGCATTAGAAAAGACGGGAGTGAATAGGACAGCAGTTTTCTAGTTATTATAATACACTGATCGTGTGTTTTAAAAAGGTATTTTGAGAGAATGGAGGGATATGTATTTGAAAATACTTAAAAATAAAATAAATATATGTAATCAAGAAGTGGATATAAAGGATAATAATAAGGAAAATAAAAGTAGATACATTAAGAATGAGATAATATATGAAAGAAAATAAACGAAATATTAAAGTAAATAATAAATAATATATGGAAGAGAGTATGATAATGAAAAGAGCTAGATGAGATTCTAAAGAAGATAATCATAATAAAGAAAGAATTAGAAAATATGACAAATATGCAAAAAGCAACCTTGAGAAATTACTTGTTCCGCTAGTAACTATATTTAGAATCATATTGTGTAGTCGTAATTTTCAAATTTGTAGCATTAACAATAAAACATTTATTCATATACCTGTTTATGATTTAGAAATTAAATATTTTATAACCATTCGCAATAACATAATTAAAATACTTTTACAAAACATGAATTATATTCAAGAAAGCGATAGCAACTTTGAACTTGGCATGTTTCAGTCTCATAAAAATAGCCCGAAATGACTTGAGATAAGTGCTGAAACAATCATTTGCAATTACTTTAAATCTACGGTTTACATGACAAGGAAACATTTACGAATTTCAGCGGCACTAGAATTGTTGTAATAAAAAAAAAACGGTCAGTTGATGTATTGCACTTTGTAGAATAAAAATAATGAAACCTACAGGTGTCAAGTGCAAATTTAAAATAGGTTAATTTTAGAGATAAATGAGTGCAATTTGGCCCAATTGTATATGTATAAAATTTACTGAGAAAAATAGTAGATTGTGCAACAAGAGTGGATATGACCATTATCATATCGCATGAAGACGAAATTTGAGCACGACGCGCAGTACTCAATTGTATGAGTGCAATGTGGACAATCTACTCGAGATAACAGATAAAAAACCAAGCATAAACACTAGATTAGGCCAACTTAATTCTATTTTCAATGTTCAATTACAGTTATATATAAATTCAAGATGATTTAAATATAGTTTTCTAAACCCAAACAAAATTAATCAAATACTTTAAAGACAGTTTATTATATAATTAAGGTAAGTTTTTAATATATTGATTAATGATCGGTATAAATGCCAGAATTTGTTTCAGTTAACGATTATGGCAAAACACGAGATGTTTTCCAAACTACGTCCAAGATTTTTGGAATTCGTTATGGTTGACAAAAATAGCTGGCGCTGAAAATTTATTGATGATTTTCCAAAATACGCATTTATTTTCAAAATAGTGAATATGAGTTTGAAATATATTTATGGTCTTACAATTTTAGAAAAACCTGGAAAATTTGATCCACCATGTATCAACAGAAGTTGACTACTGAAACTATACGTTACCCATCGAATTCTACAACGAATTATGTTAAATAAACAAAAATATACAATATGTTGTGAAAAATTGCGTATTTTAAAAAATGTGTTTATATCACATTTTTTAAAAATACAAATAAAAATTTAAAAAAATAGTCCGATCTGGATTAGGGGTGGGAGTAGCCATATATGATTAGTAGGAATTGAGAAGTACAGATGATCTTAAATAAGGAATTTAAAAGTTAATTGCAAAATCAAAAAATATATTAAATGAATAAAAATTAAACATAATAAAATGGAAACACCAACAAAAATATGACTATTTTACTGAATTTGAATTATAAAATCAAAAGAAAAATTGTATTACAGAAAAAGAAAAAATGCAGTTTGCATTTTTGCATTTTTTTTTATAATTTAAGAAATGATGCATCTTTTCAAATTTTCCGCACATTTGGCATTTTTTTTTATAAAATCAAATTCCTTTGTGTCAAAAGTCCTTGTGCAATTACAAAATACATCTATATCTTTACTTGAAACTGTTGAATTAATAGATAATGAGGAGAAAGTATTTAAAAAAGGAGAAATAGGAAAAAAATATTTTAAATAAATGAGGGGTTTTAGATCAGTACACCTGGAACTTTGTCTAGGTACTGTTGCCATAAAATTCACGTACAATCTTTACTCTTATCAGTGACGGCTGTCAAAATATATTTTTCATTTCTCATTATAATCTCCTAGCCAGTGTATGTATTACCTAGTCTTCAGCGAAGTCAGCAACTGTCCGAGTCCGAAAGGGCAAGCATCACACCTGTGAAATCCTACCAAACAAAATACACAAAAAGACTTAAACAATGCCGGATTTAAATAAGCAGTCCAATATCGCAGTTATACGCTCTCTCAGCAGTTTCCAGGCCAAATTGAAACAAAGCAAATAAACGATGAGTAAACACACCATCACTAAAGTAATTACTAACCAGGGGTTCATATTTCTGGACCAGGGGTTCATATTTCTGGACCAGGGGTCCGTCTGGCAAAATTTTCACAAAAACGACGTTCAAATGACCGCCAAACAGTTGTAAAGGCTACAATACCAGAAAAACCCCCAACAGAGGGGAATACATCAACAAGAAAGGAGTCTATAGCTGACTTCTTGGAATTAAAGGACAGCCAAGACAGTCATTATAGCCATAATGACATTAAAAAGTATGAAGAAACCATAAAAGAGCTCATAAATGTTCTGGAAGGTACTAATGATTCCATTGAAAGTGTCGACAGCGCAACGAACACTACTGTAGTTGAAAAAACTAATAAGGAACAAGTAAAAAATCCCCTAAAGCAAACAATTTCGTCTCAGGATACAGCTCTGAGTCCACTAGCCAAAAGAGAGTCTTTAAAACCCTGCAATTACCTCCAAATATAGTCGCGAGGTTGATGGATTTCAGCACTAACGTTCTGGGCGAAAACCCAAAACTCTAACTCATAGAACTTAAAACTGGTAGTGGAATTGAGTAACTCTATATTTGGGTATGTCTCCCCACTACCACTCACTCAAAGTAAGACTCCAATAGGCACTACACAACCCCCAACCCCTAAGGGAGGTGCAAGGGTACCTATTAATAGTGATCCACTTATCAGAATTGAAGTAAATCCCGGAGACATCCCTAAAAGTGTTGAAACTAACATTATGCACTATAACTCCAAAAGGCACACATCCGGAGAAGAGCAGAGAATTAATAGAAACCATGGAGAAAGATACAGTAATCTTCCTCGCTCTCAAAATAGCTTGTTTGAGTACAAAAATCACACTGAAAGAGCTCTTCATGACTAGGAACTGGCCAAAAATATTGCAGATCAGCCCCTCAACGACAAAGAAGTTCCCTTCCAAGTTCCCAGGAAGTTTAGCACAAACTTTCAGAAACCGGTTAGAGAGAAATCTAAGAAAACACTTATCCCCACCAGTAATTCATTTGACGTCCTAATAGATACATCGGACACAGATACTGACGATGACATAGGTAAGATAGTGAAAAATAGGAAAAAGGAGATAAAAAATAACAGCCAAAAGTAATACTATTTGTTAATATACTATGTTTGTATGTATGCTAGTGTTTAGATGAGTATTATGTAATTTTAGGTCTCTTTCAAGATAATGATAAATAAAATATGTACTTAAAAACTGAATATTGTTTTATTTAAATGTGATTATATCCAACGTCACACAAATATGTAGTGAAGATTATTAATTATTATTATTAATATTGTTACATTTTTACATTGCAATTTTCTAAAATACTTTTACATATTTTTCGCAAATCAATTGCATTAAAATGCATTTTTTCAGGTCCTTGGTGATAACGAAGAACTACAATTAAAATGACCAACAGATGGGAGACATTTGGAGAAAGAACGATATTATGGTGAGTAAATTTGATATTATTACCTTAGAGAAATTTCTCAACTTTCTTGATCTGTCAAATTTATTTAAATTAAAACAGTCCAAACTTTCTAAAAATGGGGACAATTTGAACGAAAGTCATAGTTAAACGCTTCGCTGTTCCTGAACGGTCCAAGAGCATATTTATAACACTCTCTTTAGTCGGAGTGTGACTCCTGAAGTGTTCCTGGTAATATAGGGCTTTTTACTTTTTTATAGATATAGAGGTCAACACTGTACATTGAGCAACAGATGCAACAAAATTATTCCAAAGCTTAGAACTAAAACATTTTTTTGATAAATTGTCAACTAACAAAATATTTATCATGCGAACATTTTTTTATGCAAATTCTGTACATGTCCACAATAATTCGGTACCTATTGTGCTCATCTGGCTACATCAATAATGCTAAACCAATTAAAAACAATTTCTATGCGTTGGTGATGCACTGACAGTGCTGTTTTAAATTAATAATTGGAATTAAATTCTAAAGCCCAGGTAGGGATTTCCCACTCAATCATTTATTAAAGTAAAAAATATTATACATTTTATGATTTTTTTATTAATGCGAGATACAGATGGCTTGATTATGTCTAATATTTTATTTATGAATGTTAAATTCATGTAAAAAAGGCGTTGCAACTGTATACTTTGGAAAAAAATTGTTTGTGGAAAAAAAATTGGAATAAAATAAATAAATTAGACATTGAATAGTGAATGCAAAAAATATAATATTTTGAATATAACACTGTTATGGGAATTTCACTTATTACGATTTTCCCTATAAAACCGATTAATTAATTGTACCCTAACCTTATTGGTATTTTTAAAATTTTAAACCTGATATTGTCATTGAGCATAATACGTTTATGACACTTAATATTTTGAATATACTTTTAACGAATTTTAAGGTCTACCTGACCAAAAAAGACGGTCAAAAGAACAAGTGTGAATACTCGTTTAAAAGGCTCAAATAACTTATCTTCAAAAAATGGAAATCCAAAAATAATGACAACTTTAATGTAAAATCTTATTTATTACTGACATTCGAACATGAAGATCAAGTAAGTATAACATATCAAAAAATTATATACAGAGTGTCAAAATAAAATAAACACAAATAAAATAACCACATTTCTAACATACTGTAGCTGTTGTATAGTAAGTAAAGTACGGGATTAAGTACACTACCTTGCGGTTCTCCTGCATTGATTTCTTTTAATGTAGAATATGCTTTTCTATATTTAATTATAAATTATATTTTTAAATAGGCTTGAATCAAATCTTAGTAATAATGTTTCCAATTTGTGCCCAACAGTTCTTGTCTAATTACATGCGTGTTCATTTGTTTATTTTAATCGATAGTTTGGTGTAATTATAGAATCTATTTCCCAAAGAATTACCAAGTTAAATAAATTTAACAATTTTATTCGAATTTTCATTGAAACTATAATGAAAATTTTACTTCTTGCACAAATAAACATTTAGAAATAATGTTGATCTTTCAGTTATATTGTAGTTATTGATTTAACTTGCAGAATATAGGCAAAATACATGATGCGATTTTTTAAAAATACCGTTACCAAGTCATTAATTTCATCTTTCTTCTTCGGTTCCCCTTTCTATTGATTAAATATCTTATTTACACTCTCAGGGTGGTACTAAGAGAATTCCCTTTATGTGCTTCAACTGTTTAACGACTATTGATAAGACTTTTTTTAAATTAAAATATTTAAAATATGTAAATATATAAATCTTGTAAATAATACTTGATAGTAAGATATTACAAGTAAAATTATGTTTGTAACTGTAATAATAAGTAAAAAAGTTAATTAAGAAATGCAATTTAATAAAATATTATAAACTTACCATGTTATGTACTTAAAAACCGATAATATAGGCAATTTAAAATATAAATTAATGTGTTTTTTATGATTATTTAACAATATACGTATTATACGAGGGGCAAATCACTCTTTGTAAAAATGTACATGTATTGCCGAATTCATATGATTTCCGCAATCATATGGCGATTTCTGAATTACTGCGGCGATTTCTAGATGACTGCGGCGATTTCTAGATGACTGCGGCGATTTCTAGATGACTGCGGCGATTTCTGGATGACTGCGGTGATTTCCACATGACTTCCGACAATTTCCCGTGACTGCGGTGATTTATGTATTGACTGCAACGATTTCTCTATTGATTGCGGCAATTTCCCTATTGATTGCGGCGATTTACTCGTACGTATGGATTGTCAGTATTATTGCAAAATTGCACGCATTCCGAAGGATTTCTACGATATTGTATGGCTTACCAGTTGGTTTCCAGTAAAAAAAGCATTAGCTAGGTGTTTCATCAGAAAAACTAAATTTTGTATAGCGCATGTATAGGTGCTAAATACAATGCATTGATTTAAAACTAAGTGTTTACGACAAATTTATCAATAAATCAACTTTTTGTACGTTTTTTATTCATTCAGAAGATCAGTTTTAATTGATTGATACCCGAAATATAAACTTCTATGTAGGTACCTACATGCCTCCATTATTAGATATCTTTGATGCCTAAATGCCTAAATGAACAAATAAGTACAGGTAAATAAAACAAGTTAAGTAATTAAGTAATTGGAGGTTTTTTATTTAAAAATTTCATAAAAGTGTTTTTTTAGACGTTTACAAATTTTATTGATGTTTGTTTCTAGTTTAAATGGACCAGATCCAATTGAATTGATGGGTCCGTAAAATATTAATTTATTTTTAACAATTTGAATGTCGTCTTTTTTTGGCCATAAATATTCTTCAAGTTCAGATTTTAAAATTTTTATTTTACTAGTGGTTTCATCAATTATTTGAAAAATCCGACCTATGTACCACGACTCGTAAAGAATTGCGTAATATTGTTCGTTCCTAATTAAAATGCCATTGATATTTTTCTGGAGCAAAGTGTTTTCACCGGTAGTTTTTTCACTTTCTGTTACATCTTTGTCATTGTAGTTATTTGGTATTTTAGCTGTGTTTTTTCTGGACTTGTTTTTTTTTTGTTATTTAGTACTGCTGAGGATGTTCCTTTTACACGAGATAATCTATCAGTTGACAAGCGCCCGTCTTCAGTGGAAAATAACCAACAAAGAACTGATTTTTTTACCTTCATTTTTTTGTTGTTCATAATTATGTTTAAAAATGAGGTATCAGAATCACTTTTTGTGTAGTAATTTCGAAAATCCTTTATATTAAGATCTTCCAATCCATAAAAAATGCTCTTTTCATTATCTACATCATATATGGAAACTTAAGTTTAAAATTTAATGTTTTTTACTTTATCCGTTTTTGATTTTTCTTTAAAATTCGAAATTTACACATTTTCTTAAATATCTCGAATACGGTCCATTTTAGAGAAATTATGTATAGGGCAAAAATTATAGAGAATTATATTACAAACAACTTTTATTTGAACAATTTTTATAAAAAAATATTTTTTTTTTACATTTTGTCAAATTTCTCGAATACGGACCAAATTTTGTATAGAACAAATTATAGATAATAATATTGTAAGTAACTTTTATTTGAAAAAATTTCTTCTCCAAACGTAAATAACAGATATATTCCATAAAATATAAAAATGATGACTATAAAGTACCCTTCAAATGTTCCGACTCTGCCCAAAATCTAATCAGCTAATTGGACGCCGGAATAAAGCTTAAGTTTAAAATTTGGTGTTTTTCTTTGTATCCGTTCATGAGTTATCGAGGATACAGACACACAGACATCATCGCGAAAATAGTCAAAACAGATTCAGGATACCCCAAAACATAAAAAACCGTCGAAAATTCGAGGTCGAAAAAAATCATGATTCCTATACTTTCCTTATCTGTAAACAGATAGGAAAGTAAAAATACATTTAAAACCCTAATTAAAACGTGTATCACCCCGACCCCCATAAAATACCAACAATTTTGTTATACATTAAAAAAAAAACTAGATGAAAAGGGACAATTTTTGACCACCTTGTAAAATTTTGTATACAAGTAGATTTAGTGTCTAAATTTATCCTAAAAAAACCTTCAAATTCCAAAATGTAAATTTAACTTAATAGTTCTTGCCTCAAAATGTAAACTGCAATTTCTTTACACAAAATGGTTTAGATGGCTTAATTGGTTAATGTCACCTTACTGCGCGCGATTTTTAACGATTGCTAGTGATTGCTCAGTGACTGCTAGAGAATTCGGGGGACTGCAAGGGAATTCGGAACGACTGCGAGCGAATTCGGAACGACTGCGGCGATTTCTTAGCGATTGTCACTGATTTTGATGAGACTGCGGCGATTTTCAATGGGATTGCGGACATTTTGTACACGTATTGCGGGAGTGATTTGCCCCTCGGTATTATACAGCCATTTATTATTGAATAATGTAAGTGGTTACTCATACAGTGAGTTTTTTTATTACTTAATTATTTCTTTTATTACTCATTTATTTTCAACCAAAGAAAAAATCTAATCAAAAAATTCGACATGAAACCTGTCTGGCAACACTGTTGGCAAGATACGTCAACCGTCAACTTCACTTTTACTTTATCGCTCCAGCTGTCAAAATAGTCAATTGCGCGGTGTCATATATACGTATATTGTTAAATAATCATCAATCCTTTTTTTTATCGTTTTCTATTTTTAGGTAATTGCGCCGGGAACAAGTCCATAAAACATTTAATAGAAAAATATTTTATATCTATTAATAAAGTACTTAATATTCGATAAATATCAATAATTTAACGAAGGTCGTTGGAAAATGTATTAACTCATTGCTGTTGTAATGAGTAAATAATTTTCTAATAATCAATAATGATTTAGTAAAAAAATACTTACAAGTTTTTTCATTTCTATCAGACTTATTTATTGGTGCTTATTAAACGCAGTTTGCTAACCACAATTAAATGTTCGATAACCACAAGACAATTTTTATTCCTTCCATACTCCACGTGATG